CTTTTAGGAAGGCCATTCTGATTTGAATCAATTTGAGTGCAAATGGCTCATGCTATTTTAATGTGCAGGATATAATTATAAAGACATTTGTTTTACAGTTTATCATAAAGGGTCCCATGTCACACCCTGCTCTTTCTTTCTGTCTTTGCCTCTTTCGAACTGTTCAACTTGCTCATGATTTTATTACATAGTGTGTGTAGAGCAAATACAGCAGTCTCTGCAAAAATAGACACACGCAATTTGTCTCTCTTCCTTGCTCTATCAGACATCAGAAAATGCATAACGGTTATGGATAAACTGAGTTTCCGGATCATTATGTCATCTCTGTCAGACACCCATAGATGCATTAGACAGACAGACTGCATTAGACCAAGTGCATTAAACCTAAAGGTCGGCTGCCATGTGGGAGTGTGTGTGAGCGCTAATCATATGCAGGCTTTTAACACACTCCTCCAGTTAATTCCAGTTCATTTTTAGTCTTCACCACAGAGAAGCTCAATACCAACTGCATTACTGTAAGACATTACAGTAAGAGCTGCACTGTCATGACAGCCTAGATAAGACTCCAGAGCCAGTGTGCTGCAAGATATTTTTTTTATACACTAATGTTTTGTTAAGTCTTTAAAGGGATAGTTCAGGCAAAAATGAACATTCTATCATCATGTACTCATACTCATGTTGTTCTAAACCTGGATTACTTTCGCTCCTCTGTGATCCAAAATATTTTGTTGGATAGTGGGGGGCCTTCGAGTCAAAACGTTTGAGAACCACAGTGTATGTGTGTGGTTGCCTTTTTTTCATTTCATTTTCATTGTATAACCAAACAAGGCTTGTGATTTAATTGTATTCTCAGATGAAATACTCACAAACACACACAAAAGCACAGCTGAGGTTGCATACTAACTGGAGCACAAATTTTAAAAAGATTATAAAGACCAGTTAGAATGGATAAATTCTTGATATTTTGTTTGTGTAATCTGTTTACTTTGTTTTGCCTCAAACGATGAGGTCATAGCAGAAGAACACGTTGCATTTTATAGACTGCTTTATCAGCAAACTGCAGCTGTTGAAGCCTCTTGCACCTGAGAATGCCCTGTAGACGCTTCGTGTTGTTGCTGTGGGCTAATCGTGACTGGTGTTTATACCATTTTGAGATGCTAATGTACTGAAAGTTATGCAAATGCCTTTTATTTGGGGAAAAATGTCCTTCACGTACAGCCTTTTTGTAAAAACAAATTTATATTAAGCCAGGAATTGTGCTGGAGTCTGCTTTTATTAAGTGTATATTTAATCCATTTCTGTGTTCGTGAAACTGTAGTCCCAGTGTCATTTGCTTTTGACAGGTGCCTTGTGTGCTTTGCAGTTGCAAGAAGAACCTGCACTGGTTTTATGAGGGAACATTGTGTCCTCCTATTGGTTTAGGTCACCACCTACAAGAAACCTGATCTCAGAGGGTGTGGTCGCATTAAACAGATTCACATCTGTCCGAACTATTGCATGAGGAGATCACATATCATCTCTGCTGTGACCATAGTTTGACCCTGAATTCCAAATATGGCTGCTAAAGATTAAGGTGTCAGCTGCTGAGAACACATCCAACCAAGTTTGGGGTGAAGGGAGCACCGTAAGTGATCTGATGACATGTATGCAGCGTCAGTCAAGATTTGGCAGTAATGAATGGGACTTGGGACTCCAGGAGGTCTACCCTCTGCCACTGTATAACTTCACCTCCACGCAGGATCACTGGCTCTCCCATCATGTAGCACCTGATGACCACTGGAAGGAAACTTTTAATGGCTGACAAGAATCCTGCTGGATAAGCAGTAGCACACCTGGTCTACAGGCATTTAGGATTCTGCATAAGAGAAGCTAAAATGAAATGCCGAGGTTTCTAGAAAGTTAATAGCAGAAACGTCATGCCCATTCATATTGCTTGGTTTATGTTATTTAACAAAACATACATTACTTTGTTCTTAATCTCAAACTTTAAATGAAACAATACCACCTGACTAAATTGTAATAGATAAAAACGATAATAATTTAAAATAACATGTAATTTTGTTGTAGTACCGCTGATATTTGTATAAGTGCTGTAGTGGTTTTGTGACCATGTTAATAAATAAAAACACATACAACACTTCACACAAGGTCTCAATACATCACACGTCTTTACCAGTAACTTACAAAACAAGTACAATACATAAAAGGACAAAATAAAGAGGGAGGTGGCCAGCAAAGACCCTCAGATTTCTACCCCACACTCACTACCCATGACACACACTCGTGAAAAAAATAAATTAAACAGCACACGCAGTACAAGGTTCCATGGCCAACCCCTCCCACCTAATATCCACGCACCAAACAATACAAAACAAAATATAACAGACGGACCCAGATGAATTCCAGACAGAACTATAACAGAACAAAACAAAACAGTAGAGCAGAGCAGAAGTGCAGTCAGTTACTTGAGGTTCGTTAGGCTTCAATTAAGATCATTGGAAACCCCTGGACGGGCAATCAATCCAAGAAAACAGTACAATGCTGCTGTAACGGAAGAGGCCTGACGCAATAGGTTAGTATTTATAAAACAGGTTTATATGGTCACAGAGAGTACTGGGGTAGGGTCCAGAGGATGTGACGGTGAGTGAATAGTTCGAAGGATATGATGAGTGGGGTAATCTGAGTCTTTGGCTTTACAAGAGCTGGAATGCAGGCAGGAGGAGCACACACCTCAGCGATCCGGGAACTAGGAGGAACAGGAGACACTTGGAGACACTAGGAGGAACAGGAGACACTTGGAGAAACACAGGAGGTAAGTAATGCAGAAAGTATTCAAATGGAAGTAGTAGCAACGTCATTGAGTCCTCTACGTGTATACAAGACCAGACAATGAGGGTGTCTGAGGTGTGTGCTTTTATGCAGGCTGTTTAATGAGGTGCTTGATTAGTGACAGGTGCTGGTGCTCAGAATTCAGGTGAGAGGGATCGTTGTGATTGGGTGGTGGTGGAGCCTGGCCTATCTGTTACAGCTGCAGTGCACATGGTCGCTCACCACGCAGGATTACAGCTACTTGCAGGCCCATGTCTGAAAACTGGCCAACAGCCAGCACATGATAGACAAGAGGATAATCCAACTGCTAGCACTCATTCAAAGCGCCACATGTCACAAAGGGGCGGTACCAAGGATGATACATCCCAAGCAACCAAACACTTCCCCCTTTTATAGGCACAACACAGGCACTAATTGGCTCATGAAGCTTACCCAACTAACCAATCATGATAAAGTACAAACACTGATAGGTTCACCTGTTTGGGTAATGCCAGCCAATCATACTGGGTCTATACCTCACTCTGCTACATACAGTTTCAATTTCTCCCCATCAAACCCAGAACAGACTGCCTTATGCCGAGTTCACACTGCACGATTTTAGCCTGATTTTTCACTCGCCGACAGGTTTTGCGAAATCACAGACAAAGGCCCGAAATCGGAGGCAAATCGGTGCTCGTTCACGCGAGTGACAATCACGCAGTGTGAATTATCAAATGAGGGAATCGCCGACATGTCGCCGATGCCCGCAAAATATCTGGAGCTATCTGCGATTCACAATCACGCTGTGTGCAATGATTTCTGACTGAAAACTACATTGGCGACCAAGATACAGGGTGGAGGGAAGTTTGGGGAGGAGTTATAGACCAGAATATCAGTATTTTAATAGATATATGAACAATTATATCATACAGAAACAAGCACAAACATTTGCTTGACCAGCCACAACATCAGCATAACAGTTACTGCAAAATTTTCTCTTTGCAGAACACCCAATCCCTGTTCCCTGCATCTCCCTCATGCAGAATCTGTTTTTCTTTTTCTCCTTGTAGCTGGAAATAAGCTCACATACAGTTTGCGGGCTATATATATATATTATAATTCCAGTCTCGCTGGAGAACTCCGGTCTGACGCACGCGGGTTCTCGCGTTATTTCCTTATCACTTCTCGCGTGTGTTTTGTTGTGAAACGTAGTTTGCGGACCAGACAGAGCTGTCGGCGATTCTTCCTATTGTAAAGTCATGCAGTGTGTAACCTCCTGTCGCCGATCCATCGTGCAATGTGAACACAGCAGCGACTGACTGCTACCCCAGATAGTCGCGCAGTGTGAAAACCACGGTGACCCGACGACTTTGAAAATCGTGCAGTGTGAACTCGGCATTAGAAGAAATTCTTTAAAAAGTTGCAATTGAAAAATGTATTAAAATGAATAATAAATAGAAATATGTATAAATATAATAATACATTTAAATAATAAATACAATTAATAGTAACAATAAAAACAATAAAAAATTTAAAGCTGAATGGTCAAAGGTGAAAGGTCATGACGTGCAGCACACAGATGGTAAACTTAAAAAAATATATATATATTCTCATAAAGCTGAAATTTAATTCCATTATGTTTGTTTAAATATATCTCAATTCCTGACAATAACACAACAGTATATTTACAGCGTATTCTTTACCATAAATGGCTTAAAATCGACATGAACACAATAGAACAGTTCAAATTTAAGGTGACAAGGCGACTGTGACCCAGTGTCTGGCCCACCGGTTATGCACGGTATGCGCGCTACTATCTCTCCGCGTTGCTTCACGTTGTCGCTGTCACCGTAACACCTGCCAGCTTCCTTTTTCAACGCCGCCACCCTACCCTAATCGGTAACAACGCCTGTAAACAGATCCCTCTCACGCGCCTACCCTCTCAGAACGCTTGAGAGAGTGGAGCTCGAGCGCGCAGAGTTATCCATCACTGCCTTCCGGACAGTCCTGAGGATCTTCACGAGCTGCACCTCATAGCCCGATAAACCTTACAAGGACGCGCCTTTCTGTTTATTGGAGGTATTATAAGGAGTTCACTTTATATATATATATATATATATATATATATATATATATATATATATATATATATATAGCTTTCGTTTTTAAATGAAACGAAGACGAGCCTGGACTTCCATCTGCGTTCTTTTACGGGAAGTAATCATATGACAGGGAAAAAAATCGGATTAACTGGAAAACTTCAGCTGGATTTCTGTGGATGACGTCTTGACATCTAAGGCTAAACAAAAAACAACAAACAAACAAACTATAAGTGCATCACAGAAGATGAGGAACTAATTAAGACTCACCACAGTTTGATGTAGCCTATAAACTGAAGAACTTCATGTGGGATGCACTTCCACCTGTTTTGAGGCTGTTAAACCAGGTAACGGATTGGTGTTAAGAATACTTTGATCGGTTTTAAAAGGTTTCAAAATAAAATTATTGTTGATATATATTTTAAGTGGCCTTCAGAAATGATAATCACCCTATGTAGGGTTCATTTGAAATCACAGCACACTCAAGGGCAAACCTTTTGTTTACTCCAGGGAGCAAATGTAATTTAGAACATGTCAAACACATGCCACTCAGTTCTTTTCTCTATCAGACAACTGTAATGGAGAACGGCCTCTCAGGGAAAAGTTTTTTGATGGCCCAATTACGGGATCCACATGAGACGCGAGATGGCCTTAATTCAAGATATAAAGAGCGGATTCAGATATGAATATTTTCTGCACTTATACACTACATGTAGATTATTTCTAGACCAGTCCTTATGTTAATGTGTGTCCTCCTGAATGTCTGTGCCAGTGTCAGATCCCAAGTGAGAAAAGCATGCGTTAGGCTAGATATCTTAGATGTGTTAGACACCTAACTAAGTGCTGCTCCTCAGTGATCTAAAACTAGTTTGTGTGTTTAGGCCACAAGTGTGTAAATTGACTATAAAAATTATTCACCTCCATTGAATATTTTTGTATTTATAATAATGGTAACACTTTACAATAAGGTTCATTAGTTAACATTAGTTATCTACTTTAGTTAACATGAACTAAGCATGAACAATACTTCTACAGCATTTATTAATCTTAGTTAATGTTAATTTCAATATTTAATAATGCATTATTAAAAGCTTGTTACATTAATGCACTGTGAATTAACATGAACTAACTATGAACAACTGTATTTTCATTAACTAACATTAACAAAGATTAATAAATAAATGTATTGTTCATTGTTTGTTCATGTTGTGAACTAACATTAACTAATGGAACCTTTTATTATATTTATTTTCATGCTGATGATGATGACAAAACAATCTCTAATCTAAAAGAGCTCAATTAATTCAAAATAAAATAAAAAGAAAAGAAATCAGAAGCAATCCATCTGGTGAAGTTCACTGTTAAATCTAAGAAAGAATTGAGTGTCTGTTGTTCTCTAAAATGACACAAAAGAACCAGGATGGCTGTGGTAAAGGAGTTATTGATTTGCACACTTCATAAATCTGTTAATTGCTCATTGTGAATTGTTCAATAACAATTAAGATCAACAAGAAAAACATTTTTGTAAAGTGATATTATAAGGAGAAAATCATTATCTTCATTTTTATGTTTGTTTGTTTTTTCAGACAGTGGAACACATGATTTTTACAAGAAACTTCTGATGTAAAGAGCAGATGACCAGTAAGGAAGCTGAACAAGAAATCTGCAGTCTTCTGCTCTGTCAACTAACTGCAAAATCTACCAACAGCCTTGTTGCAAGTTGAATTACTTGCAATTATTGAACTTTCCTCAACTGACTAAATGTAATCTAACCTGCTCTCAAAGAAAGCTTGATTTCACAGTGGAAGCAGGTTGTCTCTGACATAAAGAGATGAAACGAGAACGTTTTAAGCCTCCGGAACCAGATGACCCTCTGTGCTGCTGTGGAGACATCGACCAGCAAAGAGATTACTGCTGCTGTGACTGTGAAGAACTCGATGATGCCTGTGAAAGGTCAGAGGTCAACCAGGTTAAGATCATGGCATGCAGAGATGGTTTTACATTACATTTGTTGATATAAACTTTTTAAAGTGTAGTTTAATGAAATAATTTTGTCCATTTGCACCTTCATGTTGGTCCAAACTGTTTTTTTTTAATCCTTGTAACCCCTTGTGAAAAAGAAATGCTCTTAATTGTAATGAATGTGCCCTTGTAGTGTACTTCAAATCCTAAATGTGTATATTTTAAAAAACTGTACTTGCAGATAATATAATATTGATGAAATAAATGGCCACCTAAGTGTAAAGTATTTTAAACAGTGTGCTTTGTAATAATGTCAAATTGAAATCATGTTTTAATAATCCTTTGTCGTTCTGTAAAATATACAGTATTTTAATGTGCTGACTGACATACTAAGGCACATGTAAAGTACTTGATTATAATTTTATCTGTAGTGTTTTATTCAATACTACATTTAAAGTTAATATATTACTAAACTGCAGCTTTATTACACGTGTTTTTAAAAATATGTTTAAATACATGACAAAGGCTATTTGTCAGTATATGCGTAAGTACATTTTAACCATATTTCACTTTAACCATGTTAGTAATTAGAAAATTAAATATAAAGATATACTTAGGTCCCCCTTAATAAAAGCACTATAAAACTGTTCTAATTGAATTTAATATAAATGTAAAATATTATTAATTTTGATTTAATTGCAATGAACAAGTAAGTGTCTGAAAACATTACATTCAGTCAGCAGTTAAGTATATTCTTTTAAACTGTATTAATTCTGTAAAAAGTGCTCTTTTTAAAAAAATATTCTGAAATGTACTTCTTTTTCACAAGGGACATAAAATGAGATCATTTGCAACTTCTCATTTCCACACATAAAACTGATAACATAATAGTGTGTAAATGATGAATGGTGAATTTGTCACTCCTTCTCAATAGGTTAGTCAGAGGAGAGCCAGACAAGCCAGACATCTTCTCTCGTTTCATCTCTTGTATGGCTGATCGTTTGGGTTTGCCATGTTGTGCCATAGGACCCCTTCGATTGGAAATCTCTGTCTTACCTCCCATGGTATTAATTCCTGGCCTGTTGCGAGTAGCAGCAATTAACTGTATGTTGGGAGTTGTAGTCCTAACTGTCCTACCAGGACTGGTGCTTTGGTATTACTATGTGACTCACAGAAGGAAAAGACGCACATTGTTTTTCCTTAGCTTGGCACTTTTCTCCCTTGCCTACATGTACTACCTTTTCCTTACTGAGATCGTTCCCAGAGGAGACGTCAGTAATCTGCAGCTGGTTACTGTGACAACAGGCATGATGTTGACGCTTATCTCCCTTATGCGCACCAAACAAGGACCAGGCTTTGTCAAATCCCAATCATTAGCTCAGGGAATTAACAGTATCTGTACAACCAATCAGAGCACAAACATACCTGGAGACTCCGCCCCCTGCAAAGGAATCAGCCAGTCAAATGGGGAAAAGGAAGGAAAGAAGAAGTTATGCCCTGTGTGCCTACAGGTGCGCCCACCAAGGGCAGGGCACTGCAGGATCTGTGGGGCATGTGTCCTTCGAATGGACCACCACTGTGTTTGGTGGGTTTCTCATTCCTTCTTCTTTAAAAATTGAGTATGAGCACTTCATTCCCAGTGTGAAGTGAATTGAACATTATTTAAATATTCTCTAAATGACAAAACGATCTATCGTTATACTAACATTAAAAAATATGGTGTCTGTAAGATTTTTCTAAATTTTTAGAAAAAATGTCTCTTATGCTCACCAAGGCTGCATTTATTCAAAAATACAGTAAAACAGCAATATTGTGAGAGATTTTTACAATTAATATAACAGTTTTTTTTTTTGTTTTTTTTTTAAATATCTTGAAAAATGTTTTTTTATTCATATGATGGAAAAACTGAATTTTCAGCTTGTTAGTACTATTCCAGTCTTCAGTGTCACATGATTAATTGGAAATCATTCTAATATGCTGATTTGGTGCTCAAGAAACATTTTTTATTATTATCAATGTTGGAAACAGTTGCTGTGCTTAATATTTTTATGGAAATACATTGCTTGATTATTTGAAAGTTCAAAAGAACAGCATTTATTAGAAATAGAAATTGTTTGCAATATTATAAAAGTCCTTACTTGTGATCAATTCAATGCATCCTTTTTGAAAAATCTTTCCAACCCCAAATTTTTAAGTGGGAGTGTATATATATACATATACAGTGGTGTGAAAAAGTGTTGGCCCCCTTCCTGATTTCTTATTTTTTTGCATGTTTGTCACACTTTAATGTTTCAGATCATCTAACAAATTTAAATATTACACAAAGATAATGCAAGTAAATACAAAATGCAGTTTATAAATGATGATTTCATTTATTAAAGGAAAAAGAAAACTTGATTGCCGTTGTTGCTGCAAAGCGTGGCACATCCAGTTATTAGATTTAGGGGGCAATTACTTTTTCACGTAGGGCCAGGCAGGTTTGGACAGCTTTTTTCCCTTAATAAAATAAATAATCATTTAAAAACTACATTTTGTATTTACTTGCATTATCTTTGTGTAATATTAAAATTTGTTTGATGATCTGAATCTTTTAAGTGTGACAAATATGCAAAAAATTAAATAACCGGGAAGGGGGCCAATACTTTTTCACACCACTGTATATGCGGATAGAACTGGATATGGGCAGGGCAGAAATCTGCTGTGTTTCAAAAGTAAATAAAAAGTCACTTTATGGATGTAACTTTATTCCATTTATAGGTTTTGTATAGCAAATATGCCTTGCATAATTTATAAAAGTGTTTATTCTTATATTTTATTCTTTTTTATTATTGTCTTTTACAAATAATTGTATTTACAAATTTAGACTTTTATAAATGATTATCATATTACATTTTTTATTCAATAATTACTTTAAAACTTTTACATAAAATAAATATTCAAAATCTTTAAAAAGTTCTTTATGAATTTATGATTTATGAACAATACTAGGAGAGAGAGAGCAATGTGGCCATTTGCTTTCATTCATAAAATTCACATTTTAGCTTCATTTTAGTCATCTCAGTTTCACAGACTTACCATTTCATTGTAATTTTAGATGTTCATTAAAAATATTACTTTACACTTGTGTTAGTTGGATAATCAGTCAACTGAATATATTTTCTGTTGTTTCAAATATTCATTTCAATGTTGTTATTTGTGCCTTTCCTTATAAGATATTTGGCTTATTGCAAATCTCTGCTACAGAAATAGTTTAACAATTTCAAAATGAATTGTTTAAATTAGTGCTCATGCCAATGATTTGATTCATTTTCTGATCTTTTCACACTTGTATGCATGTGTTCCCTACCCCATCAAACACACATACAGTGAAAGTATTCAGACCCCCTTAAATTTTTCACTCTGTTATATTGCATCAAGCTGATTCCCAAAAGACGTCACTGGAGCAGGCAGGCTGGTGAGACATGTGCAAAGGTCACAGGAACACCGCTTTCAGCACAGTAAAGGGAGCTCTCACCAGGCCAATCTGTCTCCATGCTACTTCAACACACACACAGGCACAAAAAAAATGAACATGCCATGAGCCACAGAATTCTCATTAAAGCTACATTGACAAGAGAGAAAATAGTGTAACTGTTCTAAACTGTTTGAAAGGAAATGTCTGTAAGTGTGTTTAAATGGCTGCTTATTATTTGTGTCTTTATATGTATGTGACTTTCCATGACAGGATAAACAGCTGTGTAGGTCAAGCCAATCACAGGCAGTTCATTTTGATGCTCCTTCTTTTCCTGGTGACATCATTCTACGGGATCAGTTTGGTGTTACGGAGTGTATGTCCACGACAGAGTCTATTCACAGCCATGTTATACTGCCCTGGAGTCTATAACCAATACAGGTACACCATCCATTACTTTATATATGTATTTAATGGAAAATATGCACATACAGTGTGTTTTCAGCCTAATGTAACACTTTTGTGTGTGTTTGTGTGTGTAGCACAGCGCTGTGCTTTACATGTGTGTGGTACAGCGTTATCATAACAGGCGGTCTGCTCCACCTGTTCATCCTTCAGATCATCAATGTCAGTTACAATGTAACAGAACGCGAAGCTCAGATTGCTTTGCGCAACAAAACTGGCAGACGGCACTTCTGTGGCCTGGTTGTGGAGACTGGCATGTATTCACAAGGCTTCCTCCAGAACTGGATTCAGTTCCTCACAATGAACACGGATGAGAACGGTTCCCCTTTCACCTTCACAGTCATGGTATGAGTCAAGGGACTATAGACATGATCCTGGGTGGTACTTAAACTATAATTATACAAAATGTTAAACAACTAAGCGTCTGGTTAGACCTAAAGAGTTGGTTGACACATTTACCTTGTTTTCATCTGGTAGAATGTTTAAATTGATGAGCAAACATATTTCTTTAGGTTTGTATTCCAGTGGTCATCTGTGTGGACATATTGAATTGGGTTCAATGTGATATGTGACCACAGCCATGTTTTCATGAAATATAACAAAACTCTGCAACTTTATGGCATAAATAACCAAACTGTATGCTTAAGTGAAGGGCAACTTTGTAATCTGAGTTGCAATCAAGTGTGTGTGTGTGTGTGTGTGTGTTTTTAATGACTAGTGTAAGAAATATTAAGAAAACTTGATCTGATGATAGAACCGAGAAAATAAATGTGACATCCTGAAGTATTCCTGCATTACTGCAATTAAGAAATGTATAAGTGATTATTGGATATATTTAGGATTGAGCTAAATATTTTAAAGGGATAGTTCACCTGAAAATGTTTTCCCCATCCTTTACTCACCCTCATGTTGTTTCAAAGTTCTCTTGATATTTCATAACTATCAGTTAGGACAGGGACGTTGAATAGGAAGAGACAGTGTACAATTTTATTTCTAGAATTTTTATTTTTGGGGTGAACTATCCCTTTAAATCTGAAAAGATTACTTAAGAAGTTTTATCAGCCTGCCAAATGCTAATAATACAAAAATACATTTTACACCAAATGTATAAATCCTTGTAATTGTAAATATGCTGCTACCTTTGTAGTGTACTCTCTCAGGACAAATGATGTTATGTTATGAAATTATGTAATTACAAGTTTCTGTGTTCAGTGCTCACTGAACAGCAGTGTTAAGTTATGCTGAGGAGTACTTTACAGTTCTGTATTGTCATCTTCAATTAATGAGCTCTCATATGTGTAAAAAAATTAATTACATTAATTCTGTCATGCACAGTAAATAGACTGCCACTCGCTTTACTAAGAGTCATTAGTTGTGTTGATTACTGTGGAAGGGTCGTGAGTGACCTACCTACCTTTGCAGATGAAAAAGACAGGAAGTGTTTTTAGAGCAATGCTGGCCCTCTTGCCTCTGAGCAACCACAATGTAGATTGAGAGCAAAACAGAAAAAACGCTTCCTCCTACAAATATGGAAAATAAAGTGAAGCTACAACACTAAAATATTATAATTTTAATTAAAAAAGACTGATATAAGCAATGTAAAGCTTAAATTTATATTTAAACAAATTGTAGAGTACAAAGAGTATCAAAGGTTTAAAATCTCTCACTAATTTAAAAATGGCAAGAATGTACAACAATCACATCTGCTCTGCTAT